AACAACAACTTGTAATTATGAAACAGGCAGGAAACAAAATTTTGGGTATTTCTGTATCAAGATTTAAATCAATTTGTAATGATTGGACCCAAAGTACTTGTGTTCTAGTCAAGGTTGCAACTCTGTTAGAATCCACAAGAAATCTAAATTAACCTGGGACCTAAAGTGTATTGTTGTTTTTTTTTTTTTTAAACCTAAATATTATGGTTTGAACAGGCTCGTCATCCGCTGGTTTCCTGCCAAGACAGTGGGACTAAAGAGAGACAATATGCATTTGTAGCAGCTTTGTAATCAACACCCAGAGAAGTTCTTTCACACTATGCCTTCTGTTGATGCGTGATGCCGTACTGTATGCTGCCTGAGTACACACAGTAACACACTCTCACATCCGTTTGTGTGAACGTGTCAAAGTGTTACAATGTCACTGTATTGGTATTACAGTTAAGTGATGATGAAACTCTAATCATTTGAATATTATAATAGTGTTTTTTATAAATGCATCACATTTTTTAAAAAGAAACATTGGGTATCAGGCATCCCTCAGGGTTCTGTGTTAGGTCCACACACACAAATGCATACAACACCGGCAGTTAAACTCTGATTTAATTCCTCAGAAACTCAAAACAAACAATTCCATTGTTTCTGCTAGTATTTATAGAATGCAAATTAAAATCATTCTTCTTCGTAGCTCATCAAAGACTGCAAGAAAATTGTCTGCCGTCGAAGAATAATGAAATAATGTGGCATGTCATCTAATAAACTGATTAACTGATGATTAAAGTAACGTAATGCCAGAAATATCAAGGTCTGAACGCATCTCAAATGAACCCAGTGAGCCTTGTAAAATTAAAGTCGACGTTTTTGTTATGTGTACGGTTGATTTGTTAAAAAAAAAATGCAGGTTAATGAGAGGCTGGCACTTACAGGAGTGTTTGACTGCAGCAGGAAAAGGAATAATAGGAATGTTGGAGGAAAAATAGACTTTGAAAAACAACCAAGGGAAACTAGCCTCATACGATTGGCTTGCACGATAAAGTCTTCATACAGTGATGGTAAAATGGACATTGATGCTAACCGACGTCCTCCACCTCGTGTCCACACACCTTTAATTAGACAGCCTCTAATGAGGGAAGCTGAGGACGCCACACGGCTCTAACACTGGTCCTCTTGGGGATCCCATTTATAAAAAGGAACCTCTCCAGTGATGTGGCGAGTCCATTCGACAATCATGAAAGGTAGCGCTAACAAGTGCAGGCAGCTGATAAAGACAGCATGCACTGAGCCTGCACTCAAGTAAGGGAATGGGGAACTAGCTCAAAAGAGATCCAGCCAACCGTGAAATTCTCAACCTTTACACTGGAGATATGGAAGAAGAAACTGTAGAAAAAAAAAACACACACACAACTAAATCAGGACGAGAATGTTACATTCTCCGGTACCTCCATTTCATCATATCTAACAGTAATGAAGAATCAAACACTTCCGACGTTCTGAGTCCCTGAGGAATAATTTGTCTTATTTGAAATTGTCTGCAGGCACCCCGAGGACTTCCACATGGTCCCCAGGAGAAGAGCTGTGTTTCTGCAACATTTTACAAAATAAGTGAGAATATCTCTGCTGCCGTTACATTACCGAAGGAGATTCTGAAAAGACTCAGTGACAAACCCGCAGGGGAAAATAAACCGCAAGCTTATTGGCTCGGACTTAGGAAGAAAACAAAAAATCAAGATTGAATGTGCTCTCTTTTATTCCAGCGTCTCTTTTGTGTCAGGCTGCACAGTCACTTTGATGCTATCTCCGTCATTTTAGGCTGTGGCTGTCATGCACAAAAGAATATAATGCACCAGGCCTTGAAGGCATTTCTATTTGCTTTTTCTAAAAACAGAAAAAAAAGGATTACTTTTTTCCATTCACCTCGTCTGTCACCTCATTTGAGCGCTGATTGTTATCAAAGCACAGCATCACAGGAAAGCCCACTCAGTTGACTCCAATGTAGTAAACACACATAACAAATAAAGGTGGTTTCTTTTCCATGAAATCATGTCAGTTTAGTGGAGGAATTATTTCACGTTTTGCTCGAATGGGTTTTGCGCATATTCCGTTTTATCATTTTACCTAAAAACATTTTTTACATTTCAACACGTGTGTAATGGTTTCATTTGGAGGAATATGATGAATTTATGTTCAATCTGAAGTGGCAGTACATTTTTATTTAGCCCACATTCACTTCATCATCGCAAACTTGTGCGGTTTAAAAAGATGTGTAAGATTTTTAATTTTGGTAAATTATTTGTATTAACATGACCTTACAAACCTATGAAAATGTGACTGAGCTTTATTCAAACAGCAATAATGGAGAGAAAAGGTTAACTGTCAAATCCTGTTCTTTAAAGTAAAGCACTGAGTGATAATGGGAAGAATGGATGTACCTTAGTTACTGAGGAGCAGGGAGGAGCAGAAACAAGGCAGCGGAGGCTGCCATTACAAGAGCAATTGACACTCTGAGAAGGAAGAAAGAGACCTCGGAGTGGGCGGCGGGATGGCTTAGGTCTGATCAGAACCTCCATTAGCAGAAAAATAAGCTGCAAATGGAACAGGGCGAGCTGCGTGGAGAAAGGAGCGGCGCTAAGGGAACATGGCGCTCTGACCAGACTCAATATGAATCCATTTACTGGCACTTCAGCGAGAACTGTACATGACCAGAGGCTAGTTAGGAAAATAACAAACACTCCTGATGATGAAAGTCTCTGATGTAACTCAGTCATAGTTACACACACTGCTGCCGAAAACACTAGGTCTCAATGCCAAGTAATTGCTCAACAGCAATATGACAGGACCAACCATCGACACGCTCATCTTTCCTTCTTAGAGTTACTGAGTGGTTCACCCTGTGGCTGTTTAAGGTCAAAGTCAAGGTTACATTTTTACATGATGCTTGATTTTTCTTTTTCTTTTCTGGACTACGTTTTGGCTTTTACATTTTAGTAAATTACCAACATCACCCTTCGACTGCGCAATTCATCTATATTTGACATCTATATAAAACAAACACCTGACACACACACACACACACATATATATGTGTGTATATATATATGTATATACAGTACATGTGTGTATGTGTGTATATATATATACATATATACACACACACGTATGTATTTATGTACATACATATATACATATGTGTATATATATACACATATATGTATGTACATATATGTGTATATATAAACATATATGTATATACATATATGTATAGATATAAACATATATGTATATACATATATGTATATATATATACACATATATGTATATACATATATGAAATTTGTTTAAATATATGTGTGAATAACAAATATTACAAACATGGCATCTATGCCAGTGGAACCAGTAACATCAGTAACAGAGCTTGTTGTTTTTATGTAGTGGTGTCTGCAATTAATGGCAACATGTTTATTACAAAAGCTCTCTGAAATCCAGGAGTGGAAAAAAAAAAGGAAAACAAATTCCTGTTGCTCCGTTTAAACGTTAAACGTCTTAATTGCCTTTCACTGTTATACTGTGAGCAAACGTGACCCGACTGTAAGCAACGCAGGGTGAGTCTGTGAACAGCAGGGCCTGCTGTGAGGTTGTGCTCTGCTTTGTTGTCAGGTTGGCCGCTGTACCTCATCTCTACTCTGTCCTCACTTAAATTGCTACAACTCAAACCAACCTACTGTAAAATAAATTATATATAAAAAAAAACAATGGCTGCTTTTTCATACGATATTGTTCACTGAAAAAGTATTACATTTTAATCTGTTTTTATAACTTCCAACGTCCAACTATCACTGTTACCATTTTGATAATTATTCCTCCTCCCATTAATACAACTATTTCTATCATTGGTTCCCATTTCTTCACAATAAAACAAAAAAACGTGTTGCAGATTAACAGAATGACAGTTGAATGACAGACAATTAAATTAGGTCAACTATTGTATTAAAAACATATACGTGAGAGTCTGTGTGCGATATTAGAAGAGAACTCCTTGTGTCTCGTCCACAGAGCCGTGCTCATATTGGTATCTGCTCATCTCTGTATAGTAAATATATTAATTTATAATCCTCAGTGTCTAAACTGAATCCATACTGTATGATAGTAGGTCAATCCTCCTCCACTGAATTTAATTTCATGGCTTAAGTCCGACAGTGATTGGTATGGGAGAACTCCCAGGGAATGACGGTAAGAGAAGTGGCCCCTCCAAGCATGTCTGACTTAATAAATGAAGAATAAAATGACAGTCCCTGCTGCTCCCTGAGGATTAGGGAAACATGGATTTTATTCTAACTGTGTTTACTCAGTGAGAATCCTAGCATATTTAGTTGAACAGAGCACACTGAAATACTCAGGAATTGAAGAAAGAGAATCTTCCTAGCAGGAGATTGAATTGTTTTGTCTGTCAGCGTTGCATAGATGAAGACAAATATTTTTCAGTAAACAATCTAATATCGCTATTACAACAACTTCCTTTAATTTCCAAAATCTACATCCTGTGGTAAGAGAGACGGCATCTTTGGTCTTCAGATTTCATTTGTAATGTGTTGATAACTAATTATGAAATCATAACATTTGCTAACACATGTCTGGTTGGCTAGTGTATGTGTGTGTGTGTGTGTGTGTGTGTGTGACACATTTAATGCATTCTGACTAATAGCACGACAGCAGATCAGATGTGAAAATCTAAAATGTGTCTTCTGGCTGAATTATTCCACCTGATAATTTCTTTATATGGAATGAACATTTTTTATAAATGGAAAAATGTCCACCTAATGGGATCAACAACCTCTACTGAAAATGCAATTATCCTGTTGCAAATATGAGGACTGTCACCGACATGATTAAGAAACGTCAGATTTGTGGGAAGCCACTAAAGTACACTGTCTATTCTAAACAGTGTATGTGAGAATAGACTAGACTTGAATAGACTAGAATAGAATAGAATAGAAAAGACTTACTGATGTGTACAGGTGGCCTTCCCCGTTCATGGCAATGTATAACCCTGTCTTCACAGACTGAATGGCGACAACTCTGAGGCCCACAGGAATAAGGTTGAACAAAGCTGAAATACACACAAAAAAGCAAATAATACATTATTTTCTTTACACACAGATAAGATGAAGATATAGTAGGAGAGTTCAATAGGAGAAAAACAAACTGCATTCACTGTTTCCTCTGTTGACCCAACTTCTAGCCGCTGCTTTGTTTAAGCAGTCTGCAAAGATGAATTGCAGTGTGGCTGCTAAACGTGACTAGCCTAGCGTATCCTGGGTCACACAGAGCTGCATGAAAAGTGACTTTAATTGGGGCCACCAATGGTGCATGGCAGGATTAATGGGGCCCTGTGTTGCTGTTGCAGTCTTCCTAGTGCCGGGTCAGTCGTGGCTATCGTTTCTGGGGCAAAGAACTGGCCCCTGACATTAGGCCTGGAGATGCACATTGACTTCTGCTGACTCGCTTTGGAGTCGAGGTGAAGGTGAAGAGACACCGGTGGTTGCATGCCAATTTAAAAACGACACACTGTTAAATATGGAGATGTGGAGCTTTGTAAGCTGGATGTTGTCCTGTCACGTGCTGTAGGTGCAGTCTATTTAAATCTTATGCTTGAAATCAGTGACAGGATTGACATGCGCCACATCTCCTCACAATGACAGAAGGTAAAAGTGCCAGACCAGGGTTAACACCCAGCACAGGAATCAAATTAAGCACCTTGCCTCCAGCACTCGAGGAGCGCTGGCAGAATAAACTAATAACACCTTTGTTTTCCCGTGATCCTACGGCTCCCTGGTCAAGGCTCAGACCAATCTTTCTAAACCTGCAGCCAAACAAATGCTGTTTGACCGGAATGATACCAGCGACTTAAAAGAACTGGACACATTCAGCTCATCCTCTGGTTCAATGCTAATGTGCATTTGTACACAACCAGTGACTGAATATAAATATCCCAGTGAGCCATCAAGTTCCAGGCTAAGTGCAAGAAAAGACAAGTGTTCCATTAGTTTAAGTAAATCTATACAAATATATGAGGACACAGAGCCACTCCTCACTGAGTTTCTAATTATTTCTAATGTCAGGTGTCAACTGAGCCATCATCATCACTAACATATATTGTTTTCAATATATGAAATGTAATCAAATTACACACAAGAATATAAATACAGCACACTATGACTGACAGAAGTGTGGTTATCTCAGGAACATGTCGCCGGGCAGAGTACATGTTGAAGTTATAGATTAGCTAACTAATATAAATATTTTTAGAATAATAGTGTACAGTCATAATAATTATTATTAAAAAAGATGTGTCAAGCTGCTGTGATGAGTTCCCTGCGACGTCAGCTGCCACCGTAACACGACGGCCAACATACTCACAGGAATTACTGCTGTCATCCTTGGTCCCATCAAGAGAGCCATCGGGATTCATCTGCAAGTAGTATCCCTGCCTGCAATATAACCTGGTCACTATACCCTTGAGCTGGGGATCTGCAAGAGACAAAATAGTGACAGGGTGGACGTTAGTAATTTGCAAAATATGATCAAGAGCTTGTGACAAGAATTGTCACTAACAGTCTCCCTGCTGTAAGACACAGTAAAACACTGCATTACTACAGTACAGTACTCACTGAATCCTGTTTATGCTCAAACCCCATGAGGAACATTTTTTTGCCATGCTCAGAGACAGACCATCCAATTACAGGCAGCAGAATTCATCTGTGGCTGCCTGACTCCAATAATGAACCCAACAGCACCCTCTCTGGGTTCTCACTGTGCACGCATAAATGTGTGTGTGTGTGTTCTGCCCTGCCTGGACAACACAACATGGGAATTAGCTGCAGATTTATTAACAAACACTGTAAATCCTACTGTATAGGAAGTCGTGTTTAAATGAAGAGAAAGAAACCCAATATGATTAAGCTCCACAGTAACGGAGAAGACGTCGCTCGTGCTCGAGACTGGATTTCTCTTTCTCTCAAGAGTGCGTACGTGCTGTGTCTGTTTACGTGTGCACGCACAACCTCTGAGGTCACACACCATCAACATTGGTCCTATTGTGGAGACAGCTATCAGACCAGATTTGATTCTAAGAAAGCCCCGAGGGAGGTGAACAATCAACTTCACCTGAACCTCAGACCACGGTCTTTGCAGGCCTGCGTGTGTGTGTCCATGTGAGTTGTTGAGAGAAAGAGATGAAAGAAAACAAGAAAGACAGAGAGAGAGAGACATAGAGTGAGAGAGAGAGAGAGAGAGCACGGCCACAGTGGAAAACTGAAGAGGTCTTGCTCGGGGCAGAGAGAGTTGTTTTTTCCCTATCAGTGTACCACTCCAGGCTCAGTCTCTGTTGGCTGATGACATTTCGTTGCTCTGAGACCTTTCCCTGCTGCCTGAGAAAAGGGAAATAAAATGTTGTTTTCCTGTCGGAGCCCAACAATGTGCTGCTTCAACAGCGTTCGTCAGCGTGGCTCTGTTGTCTCAGCAGGACAATGTGAGAGTGTGGCTGTCCGAGTGACGGGGGCGATGGCTGCAGCTGTGGTTCACACCCAGACTCGCAGTCAACGTGTTGCAGTGAGAGACGGACGTCATGGTGCAGATGTGACCCACTCCATTTGTGGTCTTAAATATAAACTTGTGGGCTATGAAGGTGAAAGCTTAACATTGAAACCAGAGACATTAAAGGCATTATAAAAACTTTTTAAACTAAATTATCAAAGGATGGAAATATTCCCATGTTTTAAGTTTGGCTGCAGCTGTGGTTCACACCCAGACTCGCAGTCAACGTGTTGCAGTGAGAGACGGACGTCATGGTGCAGATGTGACCCACTCCATTTGTGGTCTTAAATATAAACTTGTGGGCTATGAAGGTGAAAGCTTAACATTGAAACCAGAGACATTAAAGGCATTATAAAAACTTTTTAAACTAAATTATCAAAGGATGGAAATATTCCCATGTTTTAAGTTTTAGATTAACATATAAATTTTTTTTTTTCTGTTTGGTTTTGTCCTTTTTAACCTATGTTTATTCCCAACTTACTTACTTTGAAAACCTAATTATGTCCAAACAAAGGCCTTAAAATCATTAAGACCAATGGCAAGCAGATAACTGTTGCATTTACAAATGCTAGACTTTTTAACATCTGTTTAGAGAAACAGTTCATAATTTAATGCGTTAAGTGTTTAGAGACCTTTTAAAGACCTTTAATAGGTTCTTATATTCCTTAAATACAACATCCTATAAATTAATAAACAAGGATCTAATGTAGAGAGAAAAATATGATGAATTCTAATGCAAAACAGCCATTAATAGTGCAGTGGTTGCCATGTTATTTTTCATAGTTCTTACAAAATAAAATTGTTATAAATTCGTATTGTCAACCAAAAATCATGGTTTGTATCGTTTCAACAAGAGAAATAAAAGCGCAGTTCTGTCATCGTCACTTTTCCTCCCACTTATCACGCCCCACCTGTCATGTCTGTTGCCCACCAGTGGGGCCTGAGAAGCACCAATTTAAACAAAAGTTAGAACTTTTTAATGAAGACTGCAGGCTTCGCCTGAACTCATGTTAAAACTGTTCCCACAAACATTGCCCTTGTACGTATGTTTCCCTATAGATTTTTAATGAGCGCCCCATTCCCTAGAGCAAATACTTCTGCAAAGACCCACAGAAAACAGCTAACCTGTGATCGAATAGCGGCGTTGATCAGCAGCACTTAAACAGTTTGGGGGAGTGAAACTGATTGTCCACTCAGTCCAGTGGGAGGCAATCTGTAATAATTAAAACTGCATACTGGTGAGCTGGCTATGAAAACACTTTGTATTTTTCTAATAGTTTGCATGAACATCTGAGTGTAATGCAGTTTCTTATGTGTAGCAGCCAGTGTGGAGGTGAACTTGTAGCTCCAGCTATAAATCATGTGACACAGGACTGGGTCCCTGGGGCGAGGCAGCCCTGTGTGTTTCTGAGCTGCAGCTCCATCAGAATTACATGAAAATCTGAAAAGTATTTTAATCTAATTAATCAAAATGGAATGAAAACGACGAAATATACAAACAGGAACTGTTTGACTGTTGTGATTTGCGACGGTTCACGTATGACCGTGTGGTGACGGCTGTTTCAGTGAAGGTGTATAACTCACGTTCACATTCCTTTATATTAGAGGTAGTGTTTACAGCTGACACTTTAACAGCAGACACACATTATTACAGCATAAACGCTTTTGTAATTTGTTACAAAGAACCATTCATAAAAAACCACGGTGAAGGTCAAACCTCGTCATGGTCAGGAGGTTACACGCTTCTGATGTAATTCATACTCTCAGACACACAAACACACACACACAAAATAATTGAATAACTTGCCCTGAAAATGTAATTACCGTGTATTCTGCAGGAAACCATTCAGGGTATTTAATGCAGGAACAACAGAAGAAACTCAAAGGACGAAGTTAACAGTTTGGAGCCAGTTTAACCTACGGTCGAAAAGAGCTTACATTTTACATGTTTGTAAACAGTTTGTGGCAACAAATAAGAAGTTGTAAGTTGTAAGTTGTTTAGGTGGAATCAGCTTATCGACAGTTCTACATTCTACATCTTCAATTTCTATAAGTGTGCACTAACAAAAATTAAAACGTTCATCTAATGGATGGTTCAAGTAAAGAGGGTTTTTTTTTTTTTTGCGATGGTAAAATCCAGTAAATCTAGTGAACAGGACATTAGTTTGACATAAAAAAAAGTTAAATTCTTCATCTTGCAAACAAAAGGGTTCGTTTGATTCTTTTTTTTTTTTTTTTTTAGAAAAAAATGTTGCTAGTGCATTTAAAACATGGACCAAGGGATTTTAAGAGGTATTTTAGCACCACCTGCAGGGGAGGATAGCTACATGGCCTGCTTTTACCAACGATATCTCCTGCAGACCTAATCAAAGTGACATGGTCTCTTAAATTAACTCTGGTCTAAAAACATACTGAAGTGTCAGCTGAACATATTAGACTCCTGGAACAAAGCCTTGTTTATGAAGTCATTACCATTCTGTCAATAACCTATTGAAACCTGGTGGCTTTTGGGAGTTTGTGCCAGAGGCAGACAAAAAAATAAAAACCATACAGACAAAAAAGCCGAGTCACTACACAACATGTCTAACCTTTGTGTTGTCCTGGAGGTCAGTCTGGCCCTAGGTTATATTTAAAGCTGTTGTAAACGAGGTCTAATGGCCGTACAGCCTGATGGGTAATGGGTGAGACTGAATTAGACTAAAATTATAACAGAATTTATCCACAATTTATATTTGTTTTTATGTTATTTGTTTTTTACTGATTTTTGCTTCTCTAGAAAAAGCTTCTCTCCACAAAAAAGTCGAACATTATAAAAACCCACTATTATTGTCATGTGAACACTGAGACCACAACCACTCCCAGGGAGAACGACAGAGATGCCTACACACACATACATACATATACACACACACATACACACGCCGGTACAGTGTAATGTATCAATACCTCAGACCAACATGTTTAGGAACTCCTGAACTATGACCTGGAATTATTTACTTGTGTGTGTGACAGGTATTGTACACAGTGTAGAGCAAACCGAGCAGGGAGGACAAACAAGGGGAGTGGGGTGGGAGGGAGGGGGCGAACTACAGCTGCTGCAGACTGCTGTCAGCCCTGCTTGACCCACTTTGGATGTTTCTGGAATAGGACGAGGGCTTTTCCACCCTCCAAAAGGTAAATCCCTTTTCCCTCTTGTTGTTCCGTTGTCATGGAAAAGCAAATTCCAGAAAAAGAACTCTACAAACATCACACCCATCGTTTTTTTCTGGGTTTTTTTTTTTCCTTTTCATTTTACTCACATTAACATCTGACATTTCAGCGATTACTCATCACATCCAGACAGATCTGAAGGCTGACTGATGACGCACTGCTGCACTGTCAACGTACCTTGGTAGAAAAAGTCATTTTAAATGAATGCATCATCAGATCATGTCTGATAATGTAAGCGTGATGGCAGACAGTGATCAGTGACCTAACTGATTGCTGTCTGAGCCCATTTGATGACTAAAAAAAGGTCTAAAAATGGTCATGTTTAAAAATATAATTTTTTCCAGTATTAGTATTGACAGTTACCAGGGTCGTTAAATTTGACTGGGGCGGAAATCTACCATTGACATCACCATCAATTAATGATGGCTCCGTGGATCAATAGTCAGATTGACAGAGTGGTGGTTGAGAGTGGATCTCACACCCCTCCACCTGACAGACCTCAGTGGGCGTCCCAGTCTCTCTTCAACACATAATCACCGTCTGCATGGTTAGAAAGCTGCACTGCCTCAGAATGTTCATGAAATGTTCGCTGAAACAGGGAAATCCTGTGTCATTATCACCTGGGAAATGAAGACAGCTGCATGTTCCTCTGTTTTGTCAGAATTGTAACAACTGCCTGTGCATTCAGTTAAGAATCAACCCTCCTGAGGTCTCGTGTCCCGAGT